CAAATTACTCAACACAAAACTAATATTTAAGACATCGATTTCTTGAATTATGGTCAATATTACTTTAATATATTTAATGACAAGTCATTTTTTATTCGCAATATATTGCTTTAAAATGAAAAGTTCTGTCAATTAAATTCTAAATCGAATTTTTAGTAAATGAGAAAAGTGACAAGATACCATTGTATAACTGTATTTTTAATTTTAATCGCTTACAGTTTGCAAATCCTTTTCTTTCAAACAACCGTTATATTTTCTATCTCCAATGTTACTCTTTGTGCTTTGTGCAAACGTGAGACTTAGACAGGCAAGTCTCGAGAACCACTCAACCACTCGGAACATCGTCGTTATTGCAATATGAAATCTCTGTGCATCAAATCGTAGAGATTCCTTAAGAAATCACCCGTCGTTGCGCGAATTGCGTACGACGGCGATACAAATCGTATATACCGTGACTGAATTTACTTTCTCCCGTTCGCGCAATCCGATGGGACAGCCGCGTCGCCGGCGCGAGCGGCACAAAGGGTGAGCGATGATGAATTGGATGCAACTCGCATCCCCTCGGCGCTCCCCCGGAGGGTTCGTGACGCGTCCCGATGTACACGCCCGGCCCCCCGTACGACACCTACATATATACGTGACATTTGCTCGTACGCGATTTCGTGGGTGCGCGCGGCTACTTAACGATTCGCCCGGTTTTTGCACCCGGCAGTGACTCACGGTCTCGCACACATGTCCGCGACACACAGCCACGCACTAACGTCGGCGACCAAGTTGGCAGATTCCGAAATGAAATTACGAATTACGAGCGCGAGTGTAGAGGAAGAGTTCGTCGTGGTGACGCTCGGTGGCGACTTTCGAAGGGGCGGTTTGTGAGATTTTACGACTCACCGTTATTTCCTCGGTGGCAAGCTCGCGGCAACGCCAACACATTAGGGGAAAGAGGCTTCGAAATGACTCGCTTACGAGACGACCTTTAAACTTACCCTAATTTTTTCTTTTTCCATGGACGAGCTCGTACATCCGGTCTTTCCGTTGCAGCATCACAATATAATGCGTTCACCAGTTCTAAGAAGAAGCATGAATTGTATATTATATCGTTTCGATATAATTGCGGAAGAATGTAATAGATATTCAATAATTTATTATTTTATTGCATTTAATTTATATAAATATGCCGCATTTAAAATTACATAAGAAATTTTACAAATTTGATAAACATCATTTTGCCTCATAATGTAATTTCGATATTTTCGAACGGGGAAATTTTCTCGTTTACTTGCACGCGATAGATCTTATGGAGGCCGACAATGCATACCACAATGTAGCCCTCAACGGCGGTCAACTTTAATGTTCGACACCGTCAGTCGTTAGATTGATGTAGCAGCATCAGTCGAGTATTAACCTGAAATGAGCGTATAATGGCGGTGTCGGGTATTTGATGCCTGTGCTCAGGACGCAACGTGTGGCGTCCGCTTGTATGCAGGTTCTAGGATATTGGGCTTACATTATATATGCTGTCTATATAGTTAAAATTAAGCGATATATCGATATGCTAGATATCGCCGTAGGTATCCGAGTACATATTATATGCGGTTGCATATGAATATACACAAGGATAATATCGATTCAATTCATGCGAATTCCAATCATCTGATGCCAATCATTGCATTTAAAGCATCAAAATTCTTTGAATTTTCATATAACAAGAGATGTAAAAAATTTATTAAACTTATACCGCGTCTGAAATAAATGTGTGTATTAGATACGTATAAATATTAAATGATCAATTAATGAATATTTACACTTATTTTCCTTTGAGCGAAGAACTATCTAAAATTTTAATTGAATGAAGAAACCGATCCAACAGATTTATTAACGTCAAGTAACGTTCTTTCAAAATTTCAAATTACGCTTGTCACGCATGCGTGCGTGGTCAAAGTGAAGTCAGAATAGAATCAAGAACACTCACGACTAAATTGACCCTACTTGTTCGGCGCAGTTTTTCAGCCTGTACATTCTTGTTCCAAGAAACGATGCAGACAATCGACGTTGTGATAAAGATTCGAAGTGCAAACCGATTTCTCTTTTTCTCCTCCTCGATTCTTTCCGTCGACTTCTCGCAGAAGTGTAAATATCGTACGTATAGGATTTCGAGCGTGTGTTTGTACACGTCCGTGTGCCAGAAGACCAGTGAAAGTCTCCATTCTTAAAATTCCCGGTGCCCAGGTCCCCGGCGCGGCTCGCGGCGATATTGGAAAAGCTATCGACGCCTTCTCGTCTACTCGTCGGTGTTCAACGTAGGAACCAGACGAAATATTCGGACGCAATTTCTTTATGATAATTCAATTTATCCCTCGACCGCACGTCAGCGTCCGCGCGAAGTGCATTGGCTCTATCGGTAACGGACCATGCTGATACATACTTGACATACCCCTACGTCCCTGACGATTTCCGAAACCTTTTACTCTGTAAATGGCCGAACCTTATTCATCCGGCCACTACTGGGAATAACTGGCCCGATAAAGAATCTGTCGTGCATCCATTTCGCGAGTGCCTCCGGAGCGCGCTGCTTCTTGAAGATTCATAGAAAGTATCCGTGCTTTTGACAAAATTTCACGACACTTTTTTTTACGATAACACTAAATGATAAATTTTTATCAAGTAGTACTTTTGTAAAAGAAGATTGTTGCTTCTTTATTAAATTACTCATTATTTTTGCAGCTCTGAAATACTCCCGTAAATAAGTTTGAAGATTCTTTTTGGAAACAATATTTTATGAAGCACACATATATGTGTCGTTCAGTAAGACAAAAATAATCCCCTAACAGCAGTCCTTGCTTTCTTCATCGACTGTTACTTCCAAACGGTTGACCCATTCGTCGTGCTTCATACACAGCCATATATATATATATATATATATATATATATATATATATA